CCAGACGTTAGGTCTGTCCTTGGGCTGAATATTTATACGGTCGAGGGGGTGCACAGATGGGCTCTCAATTGAATTCCATCTTCAACACCATCAGAGATTGATTTTGTACTCGCTTTTAATTTTGTCATAATTAATTAGATCATTACAACTGTTTGCTATTGATCTCCCTACTTAAACTTCTGGTGCACAGGGTGTGCCCAGAGCCCTAAAAGCTCAGGTGGCCACGGTTGACACTCCAGGGGCTCAGATTTCCCAGTGGGGACAAGGCCCTAGGAGGGGAATTGGGTACAGCCCAGGGATTGGGTCAAGAAGCTAGATCAAGGGTAGGGCTGGGGGTGGGACCTGGGTTATCAGCTGAAACAACTGGAATCTGAACTGGGGGAGGGGGGAGCAAGGAATGAAATTTGGGAAAGTTTAGGAGTGAGGCAAAAAAAGGCCTTAAATTAGGCCTTGACCTCTGTAGAATTATTTGGAAAACTCTGGAAACCTGATCCAACCCTCTCCCTCCCCCAAGTCCAAAACTAAACTTGGGTGCCTGACTTCCCACCGCTGTACACCACCAGGGCACCTAAAGGGCAGTTCAGAGTTGAGTTGGCAGCCCTGGGGGACAGGAGAAGGAAGAAAGGAAAAGAGAGCAGCACTCTACTCTCTTAGCCCTTTGGGTAAACATTTTCAGATTCCTCTCCCCACTGGGTCCCCTGGGGCCTGCCACCTCTCCCCATGCCGCCCTGGATTTGTAGGGGGCAGCGGGCAGAGCCTTATCCCTACACAGGTTAGGCTCATCTACATTAGTGTTCACAATCGAATACACAAGACCCTACACACAGGTATACACAGTGTTTCCCCACCCACTGGCATAGGCCCAGCTCACACTCCCTTCTTAGTGGAAGCTAAGGCCTTCCCAATGCTCCCAACTTGGAGGAAGTTGTGCAAAATATCTGTACGCCCAAAGTAGAACGAGAAAGTACTAAACACACAACAGAAAGGAAAAAGCAAAGTTCTGCAAAGAGCCCAGGCGAAGTTGTAGAACTCACGTTTTCTGAGTGGAAAGTTTTTAGAAGGTTTAGAGGATACCGGGAGGGACGGCCCAGGAGGCCCCAGAGTCCGCAGAGCCTCAGTTCCCAGCCTTCACAGTAGCCCGCTGGGTACTGAGCACAGGGATGAAAGAGGAGAGGAGCCTGCCCCGGCCCTGACCGCCCCCATCCATCTCCCCGCGTCCTCGCCCGAGGCGCGGACGGGTCTCTCCCGCTCTTACCTGCCGGACCCGCGCGCTCTTCCATGCTCGGCTCCCCGCCGCCGCCGCCGCGTCCTGGGCCTGGGTCTGGCTGTCCCGCTTCTCCGCGGCCGGACAACGCGTCTCGCCTTCGCCGCCGCCGCCCGGAGATCTGGGCGCAGCCACCCAAGACCAAGCGGCTCAGATAACCCGAGCCGCCCGCCGCCTCGGCTGTGTGCTCCGCCGGCGCCGGCTCTCTCACTCCCGGCCGCGCCGAGGCTCCGCCGCCCCGAGGAGCCCCGGGTTCTCCGCCCCGCGCACACGCGCGCACACGCACCGAGGCCCCAGCCAGCCGCAGGCAAGCAGCCACCCTCGCTGCCTGAGGCGCCCACGGACCGCAGCCCAGACTAGATACCGGCACACCCTCTCACCCCACCCCCTCTTCACTGTCACACGCCCCCCTCCAGTCCCACAGCCTGGCTCTCGCGTACTCCCCAACTTTGTGCGGTTCCCCTTCCCCACCACACTCAGCTCTCGCCTCATCCCACTTTCTGGAACGTGAGGCTCCACAGCCTGCCACACAACCCCGAGTCCCAGCCTCCCTTTCCAGGATCTCCACAGACGTGCCCTAACTTTCTCAGGCCACACGGTGGTTCCGGAGGGCCCTGTCCCCACTATGTTCAGTGTGGAAGTGCTCGCTAAATCCCTCATAGGTTCTCCTGCTCCAGGAACTTTTTTATTTTTAAACTCTAAATAAAAGAAAAAAGTTCTGGCTTCCTTGCCTTTAAAGAGACGGCGAGGGCCGGGGGAAAGGAAGGAGGAACTCACCCCTTCCAAGCTCCTGCCACACTCACAGGGACACCCGCTTGAGCCATGCCTGTCCACAGCATTCTGGTCCCAAATCTCTTATATCCTCAGACTCACACCCTCCTCTCCCAGCACACTGACACTTCCAACCCTGATGAAAGGCCCACCTTAGCTTTGCCCCACATCACTCCCTCTCAACCTGGAATTGACACCTCTCACACCTTAGCCCCAAGCTCTCCCTAAAACTCTCACACCCCCTTTGCTCACCTGTACCCTCTTGTACTCCTACTTCTGATACACACACACCTCCTGAGGACCACAGCTCCCACTCCTGCTTGCCCCAGGGTTCCCCTTCTTCATTTGCTCCACTTAATACCCCTACCCACTTACCGTGGGCCTCCCACTTCACACAGCCTGGCTCACACTTACGGGGAAACACTGAGAGACTATCAAGGAAAGTGCTGGGCAAGCCTCCGTGGGCAGGCAGAGGCTGGGGCTGGCCCCATCTTGAGCATACCCCACCAGGCCCCAGGCAGGAAGGCACCAAGGCAAGCCAGGCAGCAGGTTCACCAGGCCCACTGGGCCAACTTTCCTTAGGAATTGGAAAGGGGATCCCACCACTTCAGCTGAACTTCCTCTAGAAAGGTTGTATAACTAGGGACGGGAAGCCGGAAGGGCACAAGAGCCCAGAGGCAAATGGTTCTGTGACTTATATCATGGTTCTGTGACTTAAAATTTAAATATCTTCCTACAGACATATGATTTTTTTACCCTTTCAGGCAAATTATGGCCAAATTATCATCTTACTAATATCTGTGATTTAAAATATGAGACCATGGTGTTGTTTTTTTTTCTGTCTATTTTTCATCAAACAGTGATTTTCCAACCCAAGCCCACAAATACTTAGAAGCGAAAAAAAATTTTTTTTTCACTTTGTTATCCACAGAGCAATATTTCCAAGGACAGGGATGGAGAGCAATATGTATACATGAGACCCTAGTTACATACACAAAAATCTCACACCGTCATCGTGTGGTCCCTCCATTGCATACATGTGAGATGATCACACATGTAACTAACCTTTTGCTGTCACCTACTCAGAACCACACCCACTCACACACAGGGACTGTGGCCTGCTGAGTCTCAGCTTCACTGCACAGCTCTTTGTGCCCTTTTGTGGCCTTTTCTCTGAAATAGTGATGATAATCCTTGCCCTTCTAGCAGGTTTCTCGTGAGACAGTATGTGTGCAAGTGATTTGTAAATTGTGAAGTATGACCACACATACTTCCGGTGCTTTTGCTTCTGTTCTATCAGAGACTTGAACTGAGGCCCAATGTACCAGACCCATACATAGGGAAGCACCCACTGGGAGCCAGTGTTTTGAACTGGGAACACACAACACATGTACTCAGTGTCCCCTGCCTGCTCCTGAGCCAGTTGGTCACAGTTACCTGGGCACAGGGCCCAGAGTTGGGGCAGTGCCAAGGCCAGGGCCTAGGATCAGGGGAAGGGAGCTGAGGCCATTGTGCAAAGTCGCCTGTTGCGTACCAGAGGGGCCATGAAGAGGAAGGTGACTTCTTACCTCTGGCTCTGATACTCTTCCTCCGGAAGCCTGCAAAGTGATGTCAGTCAAAGGGCCCAGCCCTGTACCTCAGACTCCCTCCAGCCTTCTCCCTCAGGCTCAACCTCTCTTTGTCTCCTGGCCCTCACCCCTGTCCTGCACTGTCTCTTGGGCCCTCTTGCTCATTGCCCGCCCCATTGATTGAAAGTCTCTCTCGGGTTCTCCAAGGAGTCCCAGGAAAAATGATCCGCCAGCCTATTGATTCTTCATTAGAATTACATTTTCACGTGTGCTAAATTGGTTTTAAAAGCTTTTTCTGTTGTTATTGTCTTGTCAGACCCTGAGGTCCAGGGCAAACCAAGTTTAAATGTTGTAGCTTCTTAGGAGAAAAAATAATCACTGGGGCTGGGTCTGTGATTACTGGCTTCTCTGCCTTATTGTTGTCATGATGACAATTGTGATTTGGTTTAAGTATCTTTAGGAAAAGGGCCCTGCAGGAGGCTGCTCAGGTCAGGCTGGGGCTAGCTGGTGAGAGAGCTGAAGCCCCTGAAGGAGAGGTGTCAGGGCAGTTTTTCTTTTCCTGAAAATTAAATTTAGCACTTGAGCCTGTATTAATTGCTTCTGGGACAAGATGAAAAGCAAAAGTTTTCAAAAAATCATTTTTTATTTCCTCACTCCTGTTCCAGATCAAATACAGGAGAAATAACAAACAGGACCCTCACTTCTTCTAGTTCCCTCCCTTCTCCCCTAAATAGCTGGGGAGAAGGGAGGAGCATCAGTCTCTACCAAGGTGCTAGGGAGAGGTTGCAGCCTCCCGCTTTGTAGCAGGGCAGAGGCCTAGTCACAAGGACTGGTCATCATTATGCTTTGCACTGGCTAGGGAGGAATGAATCCGAATGGTGGGGAACAAGGGGGAAGAGAGAGGCAGAAACTCCAATAGAGGGAGGAAGAGAGGAGAACCAGAGAGGGAAGGGTTCAGGGCCCAGACTGGCAGAGGGAGAGAAACACTACCAGAGACAGAGGCAGAGAAGTACAGGGCAGAGGAGGAGGACAGAAATGGATGGGAGGAAAGGAGGAAAAAGGGAGAGAGGGAGACAGAAATAAGGAAAGAAGGGAACAAGAGAGACTGAGAAGAGGAAATGTACAGAGGAAGGAAATGAGAAGGAAAAACAAGAGAGAAAGGGAAGAAAGAGACTAAGGCAGGAAGAGGAGCAAGCCCCAGGGAGCTCTCAGCCCCTCCAGCCTGTCCTGCCTCCAGCAACCCCCCTACCCCAACTGCTTCTGGCCTGGCAACCCGCAGGCAATGCTTAGGAGTGGGTACCAGGCGGCAGCAGAGCCCAGGCAGGAGAGCCGAATGTCTTCGTGATGTGTTTATCCCCTAATCAGTTCATTAGTTATAAACAACATGACATTAGAAGTTAGGAGGCAGTTGATATTAATTTTTATTTAACTAGTTGATGTTTAATCCGTCACGCCAGGCTGGGTAGCAGCGAGAAAGATCTTCCTGACACAAAACCAGTTAGAACTTCATAAGGCGCAATCAGTGTCCGCGCGTTGAAACAAACAAGAGAGACAGAGAGACAGGGAGAGACAGAGAGACAGTGGCAGCCCTGCCAGAGATGGAGCCAGAGATGGAGTCAGAGACGGAGACAGGTGGAGGGCTGGGAGAGAGCTAACCCAGGGCGAGAACTGGGGGAAAATAAACTAGAAAGGCAGAGAGCTCAGACAGCTGGCAAGGGGCTGACAGCCCTGAACCTGGGCTCCAAGCCCAGGACAGCCCCGACTTAATAGGAACCAGGAGACCAACGCCCTGGGAAAGTCCGGCCAGGGCAGTGGCGGGGTGGTTGGCCAGGGACCTGCCAAGCCTGGCCGCTGCAACTACTAGCTCCTTCCGGCAAGGAATGTGTTTAGTGTCCGTCGGTCTGGTGGGGTGGCAAGGGTCTAATGTCACAGCGAGGCGGGCCCTGACTTTCCGAAACTCCTCTCCCAGGTCTGGAGGCCAAGAACCTCTTCCCTCCCTGCTCCAGGAGGAGCCGGCCCAGGCAAGAGAGGAAAGGAGAAAAGGGCGTGAAGTTTGCACCCAGCAGTTCAAGTTTCACAAAGTTTGTTGCGGTCACAGAGAGGGGTGTGTGTGTGTGTGCAAGTGTAAGCTCGGCAGTGGCAAAGAGGGAGGAAGTAAGAGACGGCGTGGGGATTCTGCAGGCAGGGGAGGGCATTTCCCTGGGTTTGCCTAAGCCTTCAGGAGCGTCCCTGCATGCGGGCTCCTCGGGTGGCGGCCCTGGTTGCAAGTCTAAGGTCCCCTTGGCTTGCCCGGATTAATCTCCCCCTCTCAACCCCGCCCCCGAGCAGGAGCGCTCGGCTTTTTCCACCTTCATTCTGGGCACCGGCGGGCACTGGCTTTGTCACGGCTTCCTGAGCAGGCACAGGAGCGGGGGCGGGCTGTAGTTTTCCGCCGTCGCGAAGGACACTGTTTGGGGCGACAGAGGCATCTTCGCCCGCGCGTAGACTCAAGCCGAACATCTCACCGTTTGCATGTTAATCTGAGTCCACCGAGAAAAGGAAATCGCTGGAATTCCGAAGAAAATTGCCTCTCGCCGGCGGTTAATAGTTAACTCAGACAGGAAAGTTCCCAGGGAAAGGCGAAAGCCAGGGCGAGAGGTGCAGGGGAGGTGCCCCGGGAGGGCCTCGGCCATCCGCGGTCTCTCCCCTCCCCGGGCCTCCCCTTCCCGGGCGGCGCATCCCCCACCCTGTAATTAGTATCGTTTAGTTCACAAAACCTTTCCTGGGAGAAATCTGTTCCCTCGTTCCGGGGCTCAGTTCAGCACCTGATTCCGCCGGGTGAGGCGAATAAATCACTGCGGCGGCGGGGGAGCCGGACCCAAGCCCGCCAGACGGTGGCCGCCGGGAGAACGAAAAAGTGAGAAAGAGGCGGCGGAGCCAGGAAAAATGATGCAGGGAGACGGCGCAACCCTAGCCCAGGAAGAGTGAGGGGCCCGGGAAAGGGAAAGCCAGAGAAGAGAGGGACCCAAAGGCAGAGAAGGGGCCAAAATGGAAGAGGGAGATACAGAGACAGGAGACAGCCAGAAGGAGAGTGACTAGGAAAAGCGAACGAAAAGAAAGGGAAAATGAAGGAGGGAAATAAGTTAAAGAAACAAGAGCGAAGAGGGAGATTAAGAAGGAAGGGACAGGCGAATAAAGAAAATAAAACCAGAAGAGCGAAAGCTTTTGTTTATCTACAAAACTCCCTTGCAGGGCGCGCTTCCCCGACCGCGCCCTGCGGCGGGGAGGGCCAGGGCTCTCGTGCTGAGGCCGCAGACCCAGGAGGCCCGGGCGGGGCGGTCAGCCTGTGCGCTTGGGGCGCTAGGCGGGGTCCCGCACGGACCTGGACTCCAAGTTGAACTTCCGGGCTCGGGACGCGCCGGAGCATCTGTCCCTGGAAGGAGTGGTGTTTGGGTGTGGGGTGTCATCCTGGGTCCATGTCGGGGAAGGGGACGGGTAGATAAAAGGTTCACGGCTTGTTCTTGGCGCCTGGGACTTTCAGCCCTGTTGCGAAGGGAGGTGGGAAGGCGGGAACCCGGGCTGGGCAGGCTGTGGCCGCTAAGCATAGAACCCCAACGTCCCCGCAGCTCGGACTTCTCATTCTTCAGCCGGCCCTGGGAGAACTCCCTTCTTGCGGATCTCGCGTCCAGGCTGGCGCGCCGGGCCACAGATGCAAGGAAAAAGTAACGCAGCCAGAACCGCCACCTGGCGCCAGCGGAGGGCGCATTTCCTGAGCTGCCTTCCCACTGCGACCCAGAGACGCGGATCAGATTCTGCCCGCTCCCAGGGTCTGCTCTGGCATCAGTGTCCCCAGGCCAGAGGGTAGGGAGGAAGAAAGAAGACGAGAAAGAAGCGGGGGCAGGAGTGGGGTGGGGAGGAAAAGGGATGGGAGAAGGGTGGAGGGGGGAGGGGGCGGTGCAGAAGAGAAACAGATTGCAGTGAAAAGTGTAAATGCAGACCAGATGAAAAGGAGGGCTTAAGGATGCTAGGGAACTTTCCCTCTTCGGTTTGACTAGGTCTCCGGGTAGACAGAGGTGGGAGCGCCCAGTTTCCCGGCCTCACCATTTTGAGCCCCTGTGCTTTGGCGCCTCCAGGACGTCGGGCTGAAGACTGAGACCCCAGCAGGACCGCTGGAGGCTCCTGTGTGAGGAAGACCGGGGTCACAGAGTGGAAGACTTCCCTGCCCACTAGGCAGCCCCTGGGATGACAAACGCCCTGAAATTTTCCAGCCTTTTGAGACTTCTGGGTCGACCTGGTCCAACCCACTCTGCTCCTCCTCTCTCCTCCTGTCCCCTCCTCTGGCACTGGCTGATGGGTCAGCTGCAGAGCTGAACTAGAGGAGTGGAAAAACAAACAAAACAAAACAAAACAAAACAGAAAAAACGTCCAGGAAGGAGTCTGGTAGCTCAATCAGTTCTTACTTCTGCATGGAGACAGAGTGCAACTGATGCCTAGACCAGAATTCTTTGGAAGTAGGAAGGCAGCGACCGAGCTGGGCTAACTCAGAGAATCAAGGCACCAGTCAGTCAGTAAACTGGGATCAGGGCACTGGGGCTAGAGAGGTGAATCACACACTGGCCCTATTTTCAAGGAAGACATTACCTGGTTGCAAAGACAGAGAGAGCTATCAACCAATAAATTCTAGGAAAGGGTCAAGATAAAGGTGACTGGGGATACAGAGAAAGGCAATTGGGGGTGTCAGGGAACACTTTGTAAAGGGAATGGGGTTTTTCAAGATCAGTAGATGTCCACTAAATGCAGGAGCTAAGCAGGTGAAATATTCCTAGGCAGAAGGAACCTCAAGATAAAAGCATGGGGCGGGGCGGGGAGCGGGGCAACAGCCTACCTAGCTGGGGAAGGAAAAAGGATTCTGTGAAGCCAATATATGGGTGAAGTAAGGGAAATAAGGCTGGGAAGTGGGCAAGGCCTAGAGCAAGGAGCACTTTTGCTAAGAGTTTTGCTTTTCTCCTTTAGGTCATGGACACAATTGAGAGATTTTTTGTTTGCTTGCTTGTTTTTTGTTTTTGAGACAGGGTCTCACTTTGTCACCCAGGTCAAGTGCAGTGGCGCTATCACAGCTCACTGCATCCTCATCCTCCCAAGCTCAAGCAACCCTCCCACCTCAGCCTCCTGAGTAGCTAGGACCACAGGTACATGCCACCACACCTGGCTAATTTTTTATTTTTTGTAGAGACGAGGTCTTGCTATGTTGCCCAGGCTGGCTTTGAACTCCTGGAGGCAAGTGATTCTCTCACCTTGGCCTCCCAAAGCACTGAGATTACAGGAGTGACCCACCATGTCTTGCTGGGAGATTTTTTCAACAGAGGAATGAAAAGATCTGATTTGGAAGGGAAAGACTCTATGGACAATGGGCTGTAGGTAGAGAGAGCATCAGAGACTGAGTGAGTGGTCTGCAGAAGAAGATGTGAGGCCTCAAAAACGTCTAAGGGATATAGAAGCATTAGATGAGACAGGCAGAAACAAGATGGTCACAGATTTTGTGTGTGTGTGTGTGTTGTAGGGTGAGATGCTAAATTAAGGTCAACCTAGGTTTCTGGGTGAATTTCATCTCATTTCTGATTCCTCCCCTCTACCTTCCAACCCTCTTCCCTTGCAAATCCTCACCTGTAGTGGTTGTGAAGTGGAAACCCACATGTCCTGTCTCACTTGAAAAATGGGTTTTTCTCCCAACCTCATGCACCCTTTACCGGGCAGTCTCATAGAACAATGCACACTACAGAAGATGATAACTTCTCACTAATCCCAAGACATCTGAGAAAGCAGCAGGCAAGAGTAGAAGATGGAGTCAGCAGTCTGGAGATGGACTCCATCTTTCTCAGATCTGAAATGTACCAGCTATGTGACCTTGGGCAAATCCCGTGGCACTTAGGCACTCACTCTGCCTAAGTGTTCACATCTATAAAATGGGGACAAAAATTTCTGCTTTATAGAATTGTTGGTCAGGTTAAGTAAGTTTATATATTCCTGGCACATTTAAAGAACACATTTCATCCTGTTATTTCATTCCCTACCCCACCCAAGCCTTGGACTTCTTCATGCATTGATTGAGCTTTGTCTCCTGCACAGGTACAGGGTGTCAGGGGTACAAAGAGCAGTAATGTAGTGATACTCTGGAAAAGTTGTCAACAAGAGGAAAGGCCTTGTACTCCACTGGAGCAAAGTTAATGATAATAACAACAAAACAACTAACATGTCTGAGGGCTGACCGCATGTCAGGTATTGTTCTGAGTGCTTTATAAGTAGTAATTCGTTTAACCCTCACCTAGTGTTATGAATCCCATTTTACAGATGGGAAAACTGAGGCCCAGAGAGCTTTAGTAGCTTACCACAATCACACAGTGAGTAGGTGGCAAAGGTTAGGTTCAGATCTTACCTTTGCCACCTACTGCCTCCCTAACCTACACTCTTTAAGCATATACTGTATTAGATACTCCTAGTCCCCAGAGGGAAGTCAGAGGGGAAGAAACCATTCTGGCTGTGGCTGAGAGGACTCTTTAAGGACATCAGTTGGTGAAACACAGGAGCCCTCCACCCTCTGCCTTCCAGATCCTCGTGTCAGTCCCCTTTCACTCCTTCCACACTCTGCTATTTTGTCTGCCCAGGGCCTGTAAGTCAGATAACTCAGATCTGACTGCTGCAGGCAGACTAGCCAAGACTGTGAGGCTGCAGGGCTCCCCAGCCCTCACTCAGCCCTTTAGGAAGCTCTAGGGCCCCCACACCAAGAAGTGTTTTTTTGTGTTGAGAGACTGATTTTTCCCAGTCAGGTCTTGCCCCTCTCCAAGATGCCCTCAGGCTCTCCCAGCTTCCAGTCCTGCAGCCTCACCATGGGGATGTCCTCTCCATGCCTTGTCCAGCTGGGCTTAGCCTCTGATCAGGCCTAAGTGGGCCCTGATCCTTAACACCAGCCACAGCAAGAATTCCCTAGACAGATCCTGATGGGCCACATGCAGGCCTGACCTGGGTTGCCCCATGCAGATCCTCCATGAGACTGGCCAAGGTCCCTGAGAACTGCGGAGCACAGAGGACCCTGCCCATGAGCCCATCCTGTCAACAAGCTCCTGTGTCCACACAACAGGCACTGTGGCTGGCCTCAGAACTGACCTCACTGTGGCCAGAGCTACCCCCATCCCATATCCTAGAACTGCCCTATAGTTCCTCCTTCCTGTCATTTTTTGTTTGTTTTTTTGAGACAGAGTCTCACTTTGTTGCCTAGACTAGAATGCAGTGACACAATCTCAGCTCACTGCAACCTCCACATCCCTGGTTCAAGCCATTCTCCTGCCTCAGCCTCTGGAGTAGCTGGGATTACAGGCCTGCACCACGCCTGACTAATTTTTGTATTTTTAGTAGAGACGGGGTTTCACCATGTTGGCCAGGCTGGTCTCGAACTCCTGACCTCAAGTGATCTGCCCACCTCAGCCTTCCAAAGTACTGGGAGTGGAGGTGTGAGCCACTGTGCCTGGCCAGTTCTTCCTTTCTCTAGGCCTGCAATGGTCTTTCTTTTCTCTCCTTGGACAGGAGTTGTCTTTGCCAGAAGATAGAAGCTGAAGTTCTGAAATGATTCAGTTCTGTGGAGACCAGAATGAGTAGGAATGAAAATATGTGTGTTGGTGGAGGAGAGGCCAGGGCTTGTTTTTGAAGGGTCTCATTTTTTACTGGAATGTAAGCATTTCCTCACCAAGTAAGACTGAATGGCCTTTTCCAGATGACCTTTGAATTCTTTAAAATAGTCCCCGTAGCTCAGCAGATGCTATTCTCAAAGTGCTAGTATCATGCAGCCAAACCATTGAGGCACTACTTTTGGAGGTCTGCCTTCCTAGCTCGCAGTCCAGGCTTTTGAAAACCCGTCCTCTAAGAGGGACAGGGTGTCAGGCCACAGGCCAAGGCATTCAGAGCAGACCCTGGGGGTGAAGGTGACTGGATGCGTGTAAATCAGAGAGAAGCGCTTTCTGTCTTGCCGCCCCTCCCTGGCTCTACCTGTCAAGGAAAAGTGTTGTGTGTATGGGGGGTGAGGGGTGGTGGGGGACAGGATACCCCTGAAGTAGGTGTGTCCCTACCCAAGGACAAGTTGCTTCTCTCAGTTTCCTCATCTGAGAAGTGGGAAGACTCATCCCTTCTGCATGGAGAAAGTAAAGCCTCAGAGCTCCCAGCACAGTGCCTGGCACACAGTAAGGGCCCCATAAGTGTCACTGTCATGATCATATGCCTTTCAAGCAGCCCGCGCTTGCACCAGTCCCAGGCTCGGGGTTCACGGCAATCCTGTGGGAGTTGGGGTTCACGACACCTGTGGGAGTTGGGAACTGGGGGTGGGGGTGGGGTGCGCTTTCTCTAGCAGAGCTGTTCCTCACCGTCCTACAGCTGCGGGCCTGGGACTGGGGACCTGCTCGCCTACCCCGGCGCGGAGCCTGATGCTCGGCTGCGCTGGCGCGCGGGCCAGGGCGGAAGGTTGGAAGGTCGGGTCGGAGGCTGGCAGGGGTGAGGAGAGCCGGATGGGCGCAGAAGGACCCTGCAGCCCGCAGCCTGAGTGAGAAGCGAGTCTGGTCGCCGCCGCCGCCGAGGAGCCCGCCGGGCTTGGAGTTGCCCCGGGGCCCCACGCGTCCTCCGCACTCCAAGCGCCGCTAGCCCGCGGCCCGCCGCGCCCCGCCCGCCGAGCGCGGGAGCTCGATTAATAATCATAAACCCCCCGCTCACCCTCCTCTTAAAATTAATAACTCTGTAATTAGAGTCATTTCAGAAGCCTCCTGAGCCGCCGAGGCCGGCCGGGCCGGCGTCCGCCCGGCGCGGTGGGCAGGAGGGAGGAGGAGGCCCGGCGCGGCGGCCGCGGCATCTGCAGGTACAGAATGAGAATTAAAATCGCTCTCAACAATCCAATACACTTTTTATCAGTCATCTATCTGAGAGCCGGGCCCATTCATCATCCGAGGCATTCTCCCTGAAAACAAGACCCATTCAGATTTTATACAAATTATCATATTTATCATCGTCTCCAACTCCGGAGTAACATCTCCGCAAAGTGTCTGCTGTCTCCCCGGGGAGCCGCGCAGCTCGGAGCGCCCGAGCGCCCGCCCGGCAATTTCCCCATCGAGCCCCTCCCCTCATCCCTTCCTCCCCACCCCGCCCCCAACCTCGCGGGCCGCTCTCTGGCCTTTGATCCACCGGCTCTGCTTCCCCCGCTGCTCTTTCTCCCCCACCCCCAACTTCCCATCAATCTCTCTCCTGCACTCTTTCCTCTCTCTCCCTCTCATCTCTCCCTCGCCTTTGATCTACTCTTGCTTCTTCCTCCTTCCCCCTCAGTTCCCTCTCTCTCTCTCTCTCTCTCTCTCTCTCTCTCTCGCCAGGTTTGGGTCTCCCTTCCTTTCCTATCTTTGTCTCCAGCTCTGCTTGTCTCTCTGGATCTTTGCTGTATTCCCACGGCCTCATCTCCTATTTCCCTGGCAGAACCAAAAAACCAGAGGGACCATTTGGAACAGAGCAGCTTGAGCCTCCCCTCATGGACTGGGGAGGTGCTCCAAAGTGGGGCTCCCCAGGCTTATTGGAGGGGTCACTTTGGGCCCAGGCCAAGAATCTGAGGAAATGAAGTGGGGCCACAGGAGAGATGTGTACATGCCCATCACACACTACAGCTCACTGCCCTCAACACACCACACAGGCTCCCCATATACAGTCACCTCACACCACACACACAACCCCTAATACACATGCAGCTCCCAACACACACAGCCCTTGATACACGTTATCCCACAGCTCCCTAATCATACTCATGCAGC